AAAAAACCCAGATCAGTGTTATTCAGGCGAACGCGAAACAATGGGCTCTTCTGCAGCGAATATTATCAAACTAGATCAAAGATCTGGAGATATTCAGTGTCGTCTAGATATTTCAAACGTCAGAGTAAACACTTATTGTGATAAGGTAGCTTATAAGGGACATTCGAGTTTTTCGATGGCAAGTTCCAAACTCGAGATAGTATTACTCGCGGTCACAATTTATAACTTGCGATGGCGACTTATAACTTGCAAGTTGGGAGTATTTTTGTCTTGGTTTTAATTACACCGAAATTCTGGCCCCTTTAGCGTTGTATTTCGTTTTACACCTAAAAAGAAAGAAAAAACCGCCACCAGCAGTTGCTGTTAACGACTCAAGGGAACGAAGAAGTAAGTCGCCATCGAAAGTCATAAGTCGCCATGGCAGGTGCAAAGTCGCGATCGCAAATCATAAGTCGCCATCGCAGAAATAAGTCGCGATTGCAAGTTAAAAATGGCCATCGCAAGTGCTAGGGTTTCATCGCAAGTCAAAAGTCGCCATCACAGAAATAAGTCGCCATGGCAATTTGTAAGTGGCCATCGCAAGTTCTAAGTCGCGATCGCAGGTTATAAGTGGCCATCGCAAGTTTTAAGTCGCCATCGTAAGTTTTAAGTCGTCATCACAAATCAGAAGTCGCCATCGCAGAAATAAATGGTCATCGCAAGTTCTAAGCCGCGATTGCAATTTATAAGTCGCCATCGCAAGTTACAAGTCGCCATCGCAAGTGCTTAGTCGTCATCACAAGTCAAAAGTCGCCATCGCAGAAATAAGTAGCCATCGTAAGTTCTAAGTCGCGATTGCAAGTTATAAGTCGTCATCGCAAGTGCTAAGTCGCCATCGCGAGTGCTAAGTCGCCATCGCAAGTGCTAAGTCGCCATCGCAAGTTCTAACCAGTGATTGCAAGTTATAAATCGTCATCGCAAGTGCCAATTGCAAGTCGCCATCGTAAGTCATAAGTCGCCATTGCAAGTTCTACTTCGCCATTGCAAGTTCTACGTCGCCATCGCAAGTTCTAAGACGCCGTCGCTGAAATAAGTCGCCATAGTAAGTTTTAGGTCGCGATTGCAAGGTATAAGTCGCCATCGCAAGTTGCAATTTTTGCAGGTTAGTAACTTACAATCGAAGTAGTTGAATGTCTCTTTTGGGCTACCTTATCCTGTGAGTAACAACAGGGATTACAGGAAAAATAAAGATACGGGTAATTCAAAATCAAACACCATGCAGTTTTACGGTTGTAAAAAAGTCAATGCTAGAGAAAAATTGTTCTTCAGTGGTCAATGCTTCCTATTACCTGGAGAAGCAAAACAAGCAAACCAATACAACAGCTTATGCAAAAGTAAATGCAGCTCTTTGGAATTTCCGCTTGATACACATGGTATTCATGATACTGAAGATAAAACCGGCTACTGAATGTTTCCATCTCATGTCTCTGCACTGGATAAGAGAAATTAATAGATCAATATCAGTATCTGGGCAACTGTGTTAGGGGAGGGGTAGGTGGGCAGTTTCCCAAATACTGATCAAAACTGTAGGTTGTAAATGCAAATTTTCTGAATAAGACTAAGAAAGTTTGGCCAGAATGTTCAACCTCCAAATCTAAGCACCAACCTCGTAGCTACCAAAGTTACACAAGACAAGCTGGAAAGCTCTTATATTGTTGCACAGTTTTTCTGTATAACATTTCATCGTAACCTACAAGCTACAAGAGAAGTATCCTTCGAACTTAGAATTTATACTCGAAAGTCTATGTCATTCATAGGCGCGGAAAGATGTTATGAGAACTATTATTTGTTTTAGCATTTTGGTGGTTGTCATTTTCTAGAACTCTTTCTCTTGCAAATTTGAGAGTCTAGGATTCCGGCGTTTTGCTTCGAATTTAATTTTATTACTTCAGCAACAAATAGTAGTAGCATCTTAAATGTCCACAATTCATTCTCAAATGTGTATCGCCGCAATTTGGAATTTGCATCCTTAAAAAACTGATCCTACTCGTAAACACAAAAACACAGTTAAAACGAAGATCTAGACGCAATGAAAAGGGCCGTAATATACTGAGAACCTTAAATAGTAAAAATTGTTTGGGGTTCCTTGAATCAGGGATTCTGCTCTTACGTTTTCTGCTCTCCTTATTGTCATCTCCTCGTTAGCCTTTCCGCCCCCAGTTAAAAGAAAGTGTTTTTCGTTGGCTATCAATTACAGTATACGACAACGTATGATGAACCATGCCTCCTACTAATAATTATTATCCAGACTACATCATTCTCTTTCGGATCCGTCATCAGTTTTATTCGACGAAATCAGAATGCCTTACTGCTCGTTCCACATGGTAAATTCAATTGGAAAGAACATTCGACAGGGTTTGTACACTTCTTGTACGTCAAACGGATATTGGATTAATGGGAACAGCAGCAATTACGAACATGATTGCCTTTATTCTTGTTTTCCAGTTTAAATCAATTGGAAATCAGCTAATCCTATCATACCTCACTGTGATTAACAGAGGCAAGTGTAAAATGGCACGTTGACGTTGTTTGGTACGTTTTACCGCAACATACCGTTACATAATCACATTTAATGTAAAACACACCCTCACACCCAGGAAAGGATAATTGGCTTTCAGATCTAAATAAAAAGTCTCAGAATAATCCCATTATATTAAAGTGCTTTGAGTTTTAGTTTAGAACCTGGATTAGAATAACGAGTTACTATTCCTCAAATAACTCAAAATTTACTTTTGAATTCAGCAAAGTCAAAGAGACGTTTCTCTTGTGTTGGCTACAAAGTATAAGTATTGATCGCTATGAAAATTGAGGTCTATACATTTAGTGCTATAATTCTGCTCGTTTTTGTCAAGGAACTTTTGTCCTCTCAAGAAACGATTGCAGAAGGTAAGATATCTATGCCTTCCATTCAATGAAATTGCGACGTTAGAATATAATTCTAGCTTAATTCTGAAACCACATAAATCAAGTGCCGTCCGCGGTCAATATTTATCTTCTCGAAGGGAAGAGACTTGGTAGATACAACCATCAGTTCCTGGTTCTGTATTCGTTCAGAAAAATAACGTTAAAAAAAATTGTTTGTTTTGCTTGTGTACAACATAAATTTTCTCTCTAAGAGGACAGTCATTTATCTTTCTTAAAAATGTCGAAATTAAAAAGAAAAAGAGACAATTGCTTAAAAAAAACTGCCCATTCTCATATTTAAAATAGTAAAAAAAAAAATGTTTTATTTCTTGATTGTTATTTATTTCGATCGTCAGCTGAAAGAGCGTTATTAACCACTTAAATCTTTCTAAATATCAGAGATACTTTTAAATGGTAGATGTTTACACAGCCGATTTTTTAGGGGTCGAGGTATTTATACTCCATTTTTCCTCAAATGATCAAGCATGAAAGACCTCACGGAAAAATTAAAGGAGAAATACATCCAGTACCGTATAGGTAACAAGCCGGAAATTTTTTGGATGTTGGTGAGCATTAGAATGAATGCGGAGAAAATCTAATCCGACAGTGTTAACGAAATATTTCAAATGATAGCTATCAACGTTTTGCTGCTCCCTTGACAGAATCCTCAAGTTCAATTGAAATGTCGATGTAAAATGGCTTGAAGTTATTAATTATGAAAACGGAAAAAGACATGTACCCTTCGGAAGAGAGTCATACACATTATAACTTTCTCAAAACCATTCATACACACTGAGTCTCTTTTTAAGGAACTCGAGATCCATAAATTGCCTAATCCGGCTAATCTATAAAATGTATTTTTCCTGTATTAGCATCAAAATTATCCTCTTTCATCACCTTTTGCAAATTTCTTTCAGACCGCATGATCAATTTATCAATGTAATAATTGGCCTACCTTCAAATCGTCTTATTTTCATCAATGTCATTAACGCCAGCTATTAAGAAAATTTAACATCCGCTTTGCAGCTGAAAAAGTTTGGGTTCATAATGATGAAACCATAGATAAAAACACGTCCCTAGTAAAATTTTAAAATGCGCTAGTAATGTCACACCAAAGATCCTGTGGTCTTATCGCTGACATAATTAAAAAAAAAACTGGTGGTTCAAATTTTCGTGTGTAATTTTTTTTCCTTTTTCACTTGGCTATAAATAATTGATTTTCACCATTTTAATTAAGGGTATCTTTTGTTGATTACTTTTTGTTTATTGCAAAGTTACCTTCTACTTAATGTAAGTTGATAATACAATTCTCTTCTCAGTTCGACTTGATGCTTTTTCTTAGTCTGAGTAACACAGCTTAATTTTTGCTCTTAAATTACTCGACACATATATTTGAATTTAAAAGATGTGAAACACGGTGCTGTATTTTTTTCTTTTTTTAATTTTTAATGTTAAAAAAAGGCATTGTATTTCAATGAATTTCACGATAGCTCGAGGCTAACACCCCTGCTATATATGAAACACTTCTTCGTCTTAAAAAAATCCTGAAACAAGCTGAATTGAATAATTTCAGAAATTTTCGTCATTATTGAAAATCCTTCCTTAATGCCTGATATCTTAATAATCTTTGCTTAATTTCCCTCTATAATTATTCCAATCAAAATAAACCACTAGTTCTCTTACCTCTCACTCTAAAACGTAAGAAAAAGTCTCAAACAGAGAGATGAGATTGTTATAACCTCCAATCCTGAAAAGACTCGTGCATTCAGGAACATAATTCCGTAGCTACTAATTCTCACATTTCGTAACATTGTAACGTGTATAGGGCAGACGACATTCAGGCGCGCTAACTCCATCATTGATTTAAGTATCAGCCAAGAAAATAAGAGCTGATCATACGGCTATTGTAGTGTTTCAATTAATTGACTATCTTTGTTTCATTAGGCGAGCCAATAACATTTCTTTTCCACAACTCGACGACTTTTTTCGTTCCAAATGATACATATCGCCTGCGTGTGCTCGCTGTCGGAGGAGGGGGAGGCGGGTGCGGCGGGATAATGCAAGGACTGGGTAGGAGTGGTGATGTAGCAGTAAAAATTGTTCATGTCAGCGGACCAGCGGCCATCAATGTGTCTGTGGGACTCGGAGGATTAGGCGCTGAAGGCCACAGTGTAAAATCGATATCCAATGGAGGATCTTCTCATTTTGGCAACTACTTCACTGTCCCTGGAGGTCCTGGGTGTTCAAAGAGTAAATCTGAATACAACCTAAGTCACCGCAAAGGAATAAGACACCTGCAGATGAGCAAAATAGTTAAAGGTAATCTGATCGTTATATCAATAAAATTTATGACTTCATAGACGGACCCCAATCAGAAGCATTTACCAACCTGAGAAAAATACGAATACATGCAATGTTTGCACTGGCAATATTAACCTTCTGGCTGAAAACTGACTTCCAAATAGGTTAGTATTATTACAAGGCGTTGAGTCTGGCTTGAAAAAAATTAATTTTAAGAGACAATCATCCATCAAATCTAGTAGCTATGTAAAAGCTTCCTGCCGCTTAGCATGATCGGCTTATCTACATCTACTAAACACTTCGCAAAAAAATCATACCTCACGACTTTTTTTAACACCTTAAGTGTCATTGTCTGAGAAAGTGTTCCAGGGGCCAAAAGTTGTGGTCAACCGATTTGGCTGAAACTTGGCACAGAAGTTGGTTGCCATGAGATATTTCAAAAGCCAATCTGGCTCACTCTACTTTAAACACTTTTTTTGCCCCTTGCAAAAAAAAGCCTTTCAGGAGTCATTTTGAAAGTGCCATAAAACCCAACTGGTAATTGTGCTGCCAAATAAATTTGACTATGAACATTAATATAATAGAGCTTTCATTTCATGCATGTAACTTTGCCCTCAAGGTATTGGACAGAGAGGGAGCCTTTTTTGGCCAAAATTAATGTCAAAATTACAACCCTTGCCATTTTTCAAAAAAATCAGTGTATCTACCTTGCAGTACCTATACCATTATTTACTTTATTGACCCAATTATCAAAATCACTTGAGAAAAATTTGGCTTTCACGGTTTGTTGATTTTTGTCAAAACACTGTCCATCATAATTCATGACAAACCAAACTGAAAAGCCCTGATTCTGTATTTGGTCAGTGAAAATGAATTGTTAAAGCCAAATCAGTTTAATTGTTTAGAAATACTCCGATTCTTACCTTACAATTGCTCTTAAAGGCCTTTGATTAGCACAAAAAAATACCCTGATTAAAACAAGAGTTAATTTGTACTTTGAAAACCTAGCACCCATTAAATACCACAAATGATGAAGGCCTTACCTCGATATAACGACCTTTCTAAACGATGCTTGAATTTTTCATTGATTAATATTCAGTTTCAAGTCATAATTCTTCTCCGTTGCTCCAAGTATGGAAAGTCTCTATATTTTGTCAGGCCTGATTTTTATTATGATTACAAGATAAAGTTAGCTTAACGAAAGCATTCGTTAGCATATAATCTAAGTCTGTTAATAGCCTGAACATTTCTTGTAAATACCCACCAGTAAAGGAGCATGACCATGCATACATATACGTATAGATATGCGAGCTGCAGTTTATAGCAGTGTCGATGTGACCCGTTATTTCAGAGTCCTCTAGAGCGGAGTAAATGAAACCATCCGTCAAGAAGGAACGCACAGTTAGGAGAGCTGGATAGTGAAACAAAAAACTTGTGTTGCTAAATACAATAACCAAACGAGGCCAGGGCATTGAGATGATGCAAAATCAACTGGCCCGCCATTTTGGACATAGGAGAGAGTTGGACCGAGGTCACGTTCTTCTTCCGTTTCGCGGGTATGTTTTATCAGGCGTAAGAAATTCAAGGGTAATTTCACGATGGCACTTTGTTCCTTTGGAGGGGTAAGTGATCAGTGCGGTGCCACCGCATGGGCTCCGCACGAAACAGGAATGGTTCCTTTATTATCCTGCGAGAATGATATGACTGAATGGTTGAAAAAAGTACAAGGGGTCAGGTGCGTCCGGGACAAGGAAGACCTGGTCATACCAAACGTACAGGTGATTCAAAATATCTGTTAGGGATCATACACGCGCATAAATGGCTTTTATCGCAATCCAGTGGACTCTTTTCTATTGAAGAGAGACCACGATATTTTACGATATTGTCGTCTCAAATTGTTTTCTTATGACTGATTGAAGATTTCACGAGGTAATTTACTTGATTCTTGCGAAGAGAAACAAACATTCAACAAATTGTTCACAGGAAGGGCAAAGGGGTTGACTAAAATTCTAACTTTGAAAGGTAAGAGCGCAGTTATTTTATTGCAGCAATTTCTATAACCAAAAACAACGATAAGAATAACTTGAAGTTGAAGGCTGTTTTTCGTCTGCTCGCTCTGTTTGTTTACATTCAGCTTTACCTGTGCAGACGCTTATCACGCAGTCACAATTGGAGCGTGAAAGTTTCGTCTAAGATAAGTGAACTTGAAAAATCTTGGCAAACATGCTGCATCGAAGCTTTTCGATGAAATTGACATTTTGAGTGGGAAAATGTCTTGTTTCACGGATAACTTTCTTGGTAACAAAAATTATTCGGATACATTTTTAATTACTTATAATTAGTTATTTTAGTATGTAAATAGAGGCGGTATAATTTTAGATTCTTCGACTTAAAACCCGCCTTACTTAAAAATCAATGAGTCAGTTAAGGTTGCGCGACTCGTCGACTTGGTCCATTCATCGCACTCTCACGTCCAAGATGATACAATAACAATCACATCGCGAGGCGTTTCATGACTTTGTATGGGGGTGCTTCATATCAACATCAACACGAAAAAAGTTTATCATCCCGCTCTCCTAACTGTGGATCCCTTCTGTGGTTTCACTTACTGAGCGCTAAAGTATTTGGGAAATCTGATAGATCGTGGGTCACCTAGATGCTGATCATTGTGGCTCGTATATATGTACACTGTATCTACGTTTGGTCACGATTCATTACTGTTGCAAGAGCTATTTAGGCTATAAAAAACGTCAGACAAAGATTATCGGTTAACGATCGTTTTGTAAGCTTACTTTATCTATTAAAATATGGCTTGGAAAATTATGGGGACTTTCCATGCTTGCGGCAATACATGGAAATATGACCTGAAAAATATAAGTCAGAGAAAAACTCAAGTATTTTTATACGAAAGTAAGAACATTGTCATTTGTGCCCTATGACTGGTACAGTCAACACTCTCGTAAGCGACCACCCTTGATGCAGGACAAAGTGGTCGCTTATGCTGAGAGGTGGTCATCTACGGGAAAAAAATAAGAAATTAAGCTCAAACCGAAGTGATTTGAACGTGATTACATAAAATTATTACCTAACAAGCAAAAACTCAGGCAAACAGACAACTGCCAACAATGTCTCAAACCGAATGGCGCTTAGAACTGTTGAAAATTTGTACATAACATCTTTCATCAATGATTCAATCCAATTTTACCTATGGATCGTATTACAGCCTTTTTTGCTAGTCAACTGTTATAATCTGCGAGCACACTTGGTCAGCGCTTTTTGAAACTGAACTTTTGTGATATTTGAGCAATGGTTTTCTTACAGTCGTACGTGATCATGCCGGGTGATCGCTTACGAAAAGCCAGTTCGCTGTGACAAAGTTGGCTGTACTAGGTTTTCAAAGAAAAAAGTCACCCTTTTTTTGCCCAATGAAAGGCCTTTTAAGAGCAATTGTACGGTAAGAGTCGGGGTAATTCTGAACAATCAAACTGGTTTGGCTTTAACAATTCATTTTCACTTACCAAATACAGAATCAGGGCTTCATGTCAACAGTTTGGTTTGTTTATGGCATTAACTATGCTCAAAGTTCCATTTTGCAGGGCCTTAGAGGGGCATGGAGTGTTTGTGACAAAAATTCAACAAACCGTGATAAGCCAAATTTTTCTCAAGTGATTTTGATAATTGGGTCAATAAAGTAAATAATGGTATAGGTACGGATGTTATGCAAGAAGGCAGGTAGATACACTGATTTTTTGAAAAATGGCAATTTTGGGTTGTAATTTTGACATTAATTTTGGCCAAACTCTAGCCCCAGGCTCCTCTCTGTCCAATACCTTGAAGGCAAAGTTACATGCATGAAATGAAAGCTCTATTATAGAAATATTCATAGTCAAATTCATTTGGCAGCACAATTTACCAGTTGGGTTTTATGGCACTTTCAAAATGACTCCTGAAAGGCTGGATTTTTTGTACTCAAGGGGCAAAAAATGAGACCCCCCCTGAAACTCTAGAACTTAAAGTCAGAGAAGTGAGCCAGATTGGCTTTTGAAATATCTCATGGCAACCAACTTCTGTGCCAAGTTTCAGCCAAATCGGTTGACCACAAGTTTTGGCCCCTGGAACACTTTCTCAGACAATGACACTTAAGTTAAATTGAGCATTGCTTTACGGATTCAATGTCCATCATACGACGAAAAACAATAAACTAGCAACTTCTTAAGCTTCCATATAAAATCAGGAGCGTAGCCAGGATTTTTCAAAAGGGGGGTTACACTTTGTCAAATAGAGTGTGCTCACCAGATTTTCATGTTGACCTCCACGCCTTGTTTTATTTAACGTGGCATAAAAGGGCTTACAAAGATAGTGGACACGGGCACCCTAGGGCCCTCCCTGGTTACGCCTTTGAAAAAGCTATTGTAGGACTTTTAGTCAATCCAAGGTGAGGTATCATTCAAAATCATTTCAGGTGTGAATGGCGTGTCTAACAGCTCTGGTCTTAAAGGTGGAGAGGGTGGAATTCTTATCAATGGCTCTGGACCTTCAGGGAACAAGGGAGGAGGTAGCACTTCAGCATTAGGAGGGATTGGCTACGGAGCAGGAGGTGGAGGTGGAGGTGCACTGTACTTACACAGTGGATCTCTAATTTATCCTGGAGGAATGGGCGCTAAGGGTGTTGTCTACGTGGAAATGCTACATTCCGGTATCAGTTATAGTATATGTTCTCAATTTGTTTTTCACAATTGAAACTGTTTTACTTGAGACACCAAACCTTTGCTATTGTAAGCAAATAATAGCATACAATGAAAATTTCTTGTTAGACGAATATAACCATCGTCCCAATGGAGGATTTCCAGACTTCTTGTCCTTTAAATAAACAGTGACTTTTACCATTTTTTCGAAATCTTTTTTACTTCTTTCATTTGTTCTATTTGTTTCCATTAGTTTATTTTTGCATAAAAAGTATTAAAATCCCGTTTCTCTCTACAGTCTGTTCAAGCCCAGCTCATATAGTCTTTGCAGTGGAATCGCGTCATTCTCAGAGCGAGTTTGATGAACAGTTAACCTTCATACAGCACATTATCAAGTCCTTTCAGATATCTCCTGATAACGTCCGCGTTGCTTTGATAACGTACGGGAATGAAGTCTATCTTCAATTTGGATTTCATGACTTCAAGGACTCTAGCAACCTTTTGAAGGGGGTTGCCAGCATCATGAATGATTTTAAGGAGAGTTCAGAGGTGCAGTTCGCTAAACTGTACGAAACAGCGCTGATAACCTTTGACGCCGAAGGAAGAACAAGTACACCATTGTCTAGGGCGTTAATTGTGTTTACTTTTGCTAAAAACGCCACTCAAAACGATTCGATGCACAACTTGGTGAGCAGCGCTGGGAATAAAGGCATTTTGATGTCAGTAGTTGCAATGAGAAACACGAGCAAAGAAGAAGACTTTCCGAGTCTGGTAGAGGACAAGCAAAACGTGTTTACTGGAGGAACGACTAATATCACAAACGACGTTCCTTGGATTGTCGATCTCATTTGTCAAGGTAAAACAGTTTATCGCCAAGATCAGCGATGCACCACTTGTATATATATATATAAGTCAATGCTAATCATACTAAGAAATAATGCAAAACGATATTTCTCCTCTCTTAATCATTTGATAGGACCAACAGCAAGAAAATCTGACATAAGCTCAACAAATGTCAGTCTCGTTCCATCAACGTTAGAAGTTGTAACAAGTTCCAGTTCATCGAACGTTACAAGCCTGTACTGGCACACTCCGTCACTTTTTGGTACGAAAACGAATACTTTTTTTCCCAACCCTCTAAAGGAAGGCTAATGCAAAAGCTTCTGAAACTCACTAAGTTCCTCAATTCGGTTATAACGGTTCTTGCCATGTTATTTGAAATTGTATGAGCCTGAGCCTGTCTTGTTGCTATGTATTGAAGGACTAGCATTTTGTAACATTAGTGTATCATCCAATATTTCTCCTGTTTGATTATTTGTTACGTTAGCGTCTCGTGCACTGTAAGTTTTTTCTGTGTTCTGTTTTGATTGTTTGTTACGTTACAGTCTCGCGCGCTGTTTTCTCTGTGTTGTGTTTGATTGTTTGTTACGTAAATACCTCTTGCATGGTGTTCTCTGTATTCAGTTAGATTGCTTGTTACGTTAGTCTCTTGCGCACTGTTTGCTCTGTGTTCTGTTTTATTGTGTGTTTTGTTAGTATCTTGCACATTGTTTTCTCTGTGTACTGTTTGATTGTTTGTTACGTTAGTACCTCGAGCAATGTTCGCTCTGTGTTCTCTTCTATTGCTTGGTAGTATCTCGCACATTTTTTTACCCTTAGTTCGGTTTGAAATTTTTGTTACGTTAGTAAATCGCTCCCTTCTCACTTCTCTGTGTTCTCTTAGTATCTCGCACTCTGTTTTTTCTTTGTTCGTTTGATTGTTTGTTACGTTAGCATCTCGCGCGTTGTTTTCTCTGTATATTGTTCGATTGATTGTTACGTTAGGTAATTCTTGCATACAGTTAGCTCTGTGTTCTGTTTGATTGTTTGCTAAGTTAGGGTCTCGTGCACTGTTGTTTTAGTGTTTTGTTTAATTTTTGTTTTCTATGCGTAATAGCTGATTTGGGCTTCACCTAGATCAACATTCGCGGGAAAAATATCTTGAACTCATAATTTATCTGCTTTTTATCATCGCCAGCTTGTGAAGTAATACGCCGAGATAATTCAATTGTTAGGGACTATTACATTAAACTAATAGGGAGCACTTTCTCAAGCGAACTGAAATTTAAAAAGGCTTAACTGTTGCCTTTCGTTCTGTTCCAGCCGATAATATCTCCACAGAAACTGTTTACAGACACAATTTTACAGTAGCGACCATTACCGTGAGTGCAACTGTCCCTGTTAAGGCGACTACCCACAGTCAGAATGGCAATCAACGGACGGTGGAGAAACTTGAGGAAGGTATTCCAAATTGTGCGCATGCATTGACATACCAAATGTCTAAATTTTATAAACCTCTAGTATAAATTCCCTTTTTCTTTAAGAGCTAATGGTAGAGAATTCGTCTTTACAGATCTTGATGATGTTTTAAATTTTAATGTTTTGTCGATCGACCCGGGTGATATCGTCAAACTTAAGGTAAGTTTGTATCAGTATTCGAAATAATCACGATTCCTTTGCTACCACACTTGCTGTGTCATCATGAGGACGTAAATAAAATGAAGTCAGCAAAGATACGCCTAAGACTAGGCTTGAATTTTCAATTTTTTTGGTGGAACCTCGTCTCCTTTGAAAGAAACCTTATATGTCAACACATGTTTTAGAAAACTCAGTTTTTTTTTATAATCAGGCATATGCTGTTTCCTAACATAAGACATGCCATTTTTCATGGCCTAGAGAACTTGTACTATACGAAACCTTGTTGGCTCCCAAGCGTCCCGACAATAGTGCTGTTACTTCATCGAGGTCCTTGCTCAATGCTATACCTATTGATCAAATATATGTAATATTCACTCGGATTATTACAATGATAGATTTCTGATCGAATTATCAGAAAAAAACGTCTCGTGTGAGCTGTTTAACTATTCCACACATCATGCACTGATTAACTCCAGCTCCTGTGGTTGATGCCCTCTGATCTTTTTAGGAGTCTAAGTGATCGCTTTGAAGCTTAACCCTTTACGCCCTAATATCAGTATGCATATTCTCCGTACTGTTCTCCGTACATTTCCAAAGAGGCTGACAAGGAGAATTTGTTTAAAAATCAAGAAATGCTTTAGTTGGTGATCATCTCCTCCATTCTTATGTTTGATTTAGGGGTGGTATAATAAGGAGATATTAGATGCTAGTCACTCTTAGAGGCTAAAGGATTAAGGAGCTCATTTTAGCCCCATGTCGGGTAAATGCGAATGTTTTCTTACTTGGCTTGCAGAACTATATCAACTTAGCTGGCGACGTCCTCGCTGAGAGTCACAGGCTACCAAACGCCTCAGAGGCAAGTCTTACTTTTCGTACCAATCTACATTAGTCCTTAGACTAGTAAGACTACAATCTACATTGGGTCTTAGTCCTTAATAGAGTTAAACAGTCTTAGTTAAAGAAGATGTGCTCCCACGCGTTAGAGCTGGCGAAAAAAATTATTTAAAGAGATAACGTCTATGTATCCGTCAGTAAGAGCTCTTCTCTATTCTTTTACATTATCCTGGGTGACAGTTTGTCTTGCTAAAAGGGCAAAGAATTATTCATTCTTGATTTCTTTCATGTGATATGTAAAGAATCAAAACTTGCACGATCACCACATCAAAATCATGTGACCGGTTTTTATGAATCCTTTTGCCAAATGGATCTTTTGTGATTGATGGAATATGGCATTGATTTTGTATTCTTTTGAAATTCGTCAGCGCGGGATAGAATTTAAGTTAGTGCAAAAATTTGAAGACATCGGCCTCTCATTGGCAGAAAAACTGGTACCGACAAGAGATGGGTACAAAACTATGGCTTTTTCCTCTGGGAAAGTAGGTGAGCAATTTTCGTCAATATGTTTCTTTCCTTGCTCCGGTCACGGTGCGTGACGGACGGTGTTCACAAATATAGAAAATCTGGGTAAAAGAAAAAAACACAGCTAACCCCTACATCACTTTTTTTTTTAATATATATATTTTGTTCTCTAGAAATGGAAGTGGCGTCTATCAACCTGACACAACTGGAACAGTTAAGTTTACCAGACATCCGTAACAGCTCTTACAAAGGAATTTCCTTGGAACAAATTGGCAAAGTCGTAATCCCTCTCGAGGCCTTTGCCTCTAATACATCAGGTACATTAATGAAGAATCTTCCTTACAACGTGATAAATGCTGCTCCTTTGTCTGCATGGTGAGAGGGAGAATATGTTGCAAATGAAGATTTCAACCGATGACATACAACGGTACCTGTATGCATTCCTTACGATTTCTGAGAATTTAATGGAAGGTTGCGAATCTTAATTTTTGTTAAGGAAAATATCATTGTGATTTTGAAAGATCAAATCTTGCTCAAGGTTTTACAAAGCCTTTGCCAAATTAACTTTGTCAAAAACCCTAACCCATTTATTGACCAGTTTGTGGGCTGATAAAGAGCCCTGTTACGCTCATTGACTCCATTTCTGTGGTAACACCCAAGTTGTTTAGAGAATGATTTTGAATTTAAATTTTCCCCCCAAGTTTCAGTCACACAAAATCGCAGACCATGCTGCGATGTAAATTTGCTTCAACCACCTCTGAATTGCCAAACAGCTATTCGCATTTAGTTCATTGAAATGCACGCTTCTGGAATCGACTTAACGTCTTTTTATACAGAGCTTGGACAGGCAGTGTGGATAATGTTCGATCCATTGACGGCTATGAACAACTCTGCGTAAGTGGTTGACCGGCATTTGGTATGATTTTTAGATAAACTTTTCTTTCGCAGGCTGGATTTTAGTTTTAATGCATTTTTTTTTTGGTCACTTTGAGAGCAAGAAGGAATTTTTAGTGAATGTTCCTTTGACATTGAAATTTTAAGAGAAAACTCCACCCATTTATTTCCATACCAGATCGATTTCATCGAGGATTTTCATGGAAAATAAAGGAAAGCTAAAGACACTTTTTCTTTCCCACAGCGAAAGTACAGTGAGTACTCGTATCATGAATGTCATTGCACAACCGCATCGCACGCAAGAGTTTGAGAAACCAGTGGAAATGACGTTTTGGCCTGCTCAGGTAAAAATTCTTATCTGCATATAGGGGATATGTCACTTTTTGGTTCTTTATCAAGGTTTTAATTCCTCGCTGTTCTTTTCATTTCGTATCTCGACGTCTAGGCCAGTCAGAGTAATGAACATTGTGTATTTTGGAATCAGAGCGAGGAGTAAGTCTGATTTACTTTTAGAGGATATGAGGGTCTTCCCACTTATTAACTGACTGATTGACCCATTGTTTAACAAATTACTGACTGACTTTGCCCGACTGACGTGCTGACTCATTAAGCAACTCACGGTTAACTCACAGACATGTAGAGAAAATGCACCATCTAGTAATGTGGATGCATTTTTGGGTTTATACACGTGACTCCCTGACTGGCCAGCTTGCTGACTGAACCACTCGCTCGCTCGCAGACTCACAGAAAAGTTATATAAATGCAACCACAGACAGTACTGATTCGTTTCCCCTCAAAGTTTACTAAAATTGAATTATATTCACTCAATTCTAATCTAGAAATTACCACGGCATCTGGTCGACAGCAGGTTGCCAAGTTGCTTATAGAAACTATTCTACAATCACGTGCCATTGTTATCACTTAACTAGTTTTGCTGTCCTTACAAGGGTCACCCCACATCAGGTAAACTAATTAAACACAACCTTTTCTACAGCGCTATCGTTCCTCTCCTTAAATACTTAGGAAAAGGCATGGATCCAAAGAAAAAGAACTTGAAAGGCTGCGTATTATAATCACCGTGTTTCAATAATGCCAGAGCGTCAGTATCGCAGTTTCCTTAGCATAAAATAGCCCAGGATACTATCATTTCCGACGCTTAAGAATATTAGTCCGTTACAGCTTCCCTTCAGCAATTTATCAAGTTGCTCTGACATTTTGCTGGAACCGATTTGTACTCTTGGGTAGAGAGGGGCTTCATCCCTCTAACAAATAATCGTTTCCCATGTTGTTGTTATATATATTTTGTATTTTTTCCAAAGCCCAGCGAAAAACACGAACTATCGCTGTCGATCATTACTTATGTGGGATGTGGTCTGTCAGTACTTGGATGTCTTCTAACAATCCTGACCTATGCATTCTTACCGTAAGTATGCAGTCCGGCCGTACGAAAATATTGCAGTGGCATAAAAATCACGGTGCAACTTTCATCACCCTCAATTCGGTCTGCCTAAAAGTCTGACTCTATCACTCCTTTGAAATAGAGAAATAGCCATTAAATTTATTGGGTAAATTCTAGGATCAACGTTTCCATCTCTTTCTCTTTTGGCTAATCGTTATCCTGTTTACATATTTTACAGGAGTCTTCGATCGCAGAGAATTCTTATTCATATGAACTTGGTGATTGCTATTCTTTTGGCCCAAGTGTTGTTTTTGATGGCAGTGTTTGCGGTGAGCCCGCAAACATCAAGGGTAGGTTACTGCCGACAGTGTAAAAAATCCCTGAAAGTAATGTAAAGTAAGGAAAGCAAATAAGAGCATTTTTCTTGCAGTGATTTCATTAACTTGATATGGACACTCCACTAAACAATGATTAAATTTTTAAGTTGATAAGCGACAGAACTCGCACCTCGAATTTTGGTTGAAATTAAACCAGTCATGGTTATCCTTTACAAATCCTAAAGGAAGCATTCTGATATCATGCTGTACTTAATTTTTTCTTCAAATGCTAATCTCATGAAGTAGAATTTTTACTTAGCCATGTGTATATTGCAGGTAGCCTGTTACGGGATTGCAGTAGGCCTCTTTTTCTTCTTATTATGTGTATTCTCGTGGATGTTAGCCGAAGGCCTCCATATCTATTTCATGGTAGTCAGAGTCTTTGATTCTGGGAGAACAAGGAAGCTTTTTTACTTGCTTATAGGATGGGGTAAGAAACTTTTATTCGTTTACTTATATTTCTTCTCGTTTTTCTTTATTTCTTTTTCGTTGGACGGAATGCTGACTGTGATATTTAGAGTGTATTACTCGTGTGACAAAGGCATTTGTATTAGCACATTTTAATACAATTTTCGGTCCACAAGTCGATGAACCTAAATGGAGCAAAGATGCCTGGCAAAGTAGGGAGTTTAAATACGTCAGTAAAAACCGTGAAATAAGCTCTCTGAGTTTAACCCGGCGCTTCGATGGCAAAACGGCACCAAGTTATGAATGATGGTTTTTAGCTAATCACAGGAGCCTATGGTTCCTGCTAATCATTAATACTTTCAATTATTTTTCGAAAGGTTTTCCATTTATTGTTACTGTGGTTGTGGTTTCATTTTTTCAAAGGGGACTTCTCTCCAGAGATCTGTAAGTACATTGTAAAGTACTTGTTGATCAACAGAAACTACGCAAATCTGCGCGGTAGGGGTTGCAGGGGATAACGCGTTTAATCCAAGTTTTAATGCATAAATTAATTGTCTAAAAAATCAAAGCAGCGGAGTGAGAGATTTAGCGAGTGACTGAAATTTCCTTCCATACCAAAACCTCATAGTATAACTGACGTCAGAACATGACATGAGGTAGAAAGGAAAAGTTAATGTAAATCGGCAAAAACGCCACGGCATAATCTTTATCGATAGTTAAAAGTGATTAATATCTATTTTTGGGCGAACTGTTTATTAGGTTACTGATTTTGAAAATTCTTTCATGTCCTGTTCGCAGATGCTGGCTTTCAATTGAGACTGGAGCCATTTGGAGTTTTGTTGGTCCACTCATCTTTGTCATGCTGGTATTTTACAACGTGATCACCACTATTTTTCTAACATTAACGTTCAATAACATTCACTTTTATATTTACGGTTAAATTGGTTACATTCTGAGTGTTTCATCTACCACTTTCAACCATATCTTTTATTTCTCGTCAATCTGCAGTTTAATCTGGTCATTGTAACCATGGTGATGAGTGTTACATCTAAAATGTTAAATGAAGAGAGGCCATCAAATGTTAGGTAAACGATATAATCTAACATAGGTTTTTTCTTGTCTGTCTCTCTATCGGTGGCAGTCTAGATCTGCCTGCCTACTTGGCAGTCTATGTGTCTGTGTGTCTGTCTGTCTGAGTGTCTGTCAGTCTGCCTGTGTCAGCCTGTATCTGTCTGCATTTGCCAATATATAACCCATATCTTGTGTCTGTCTGTCTGTTTGTCTGTCCATCTGTCCGTCTACCTGCCTGTCTGTCTGTCTTTCTCTCTACTGTCTTTCTGTCGGTCGGTCGGTCGGTCTGTCTGCCTGCCTGCCTGTCTGCCCGCCCGTCTGTCTGTGTGCCTGTCTGTATGCCTGTCTATCTTTCTGTCTGTTTGTCTATCTGTCTTTCTAAATGACTTTTAGCATATATGTCTATCCATTTGTATCGCTATGGTCTGTCTCTGTCACCATCTTCCAATTTATTCTTTTCTTTTGACTGTGTTACTTACCGAAGTGGACTTGCCTTTTACTCACGCCCATGATTGTTCAGTGAAATTATTAATTACCGGTCTTTGCACATGCAGTCGTTTGTTTAATAAACTTTTCCTTATTTGTACCTCAAAGGTCTTTGACAAAAGCCTTCGTCACCCTTCTTCCTATTCTGGGTCTGACATGGGTGTTTGGTCTTCTTGCTGTCAACAATAACTCCATAGTATTTGAATACCTTTTTGCAATATTCAATTCCTCGCAGGTAAGATGTTTTTAAGAGTAAACCATGTTAACTGTTGCACTCGGTTAAAATGATATACATCGCAGAAAAAAGGCCTGCTATAGAATAACAGGACAATGCAGCACAGTGTCTAAGAAACTCACGGCTATTCCAGCCTTCGTCGGTTACCTCCCTGGCCTATATTCCCTTTCTCGATCACATTATTTTCATCCGGTCCACCATCCAATTAATTCATTCATCTTATCATCTTTCCATCTACGCATGATTTTTAGCGAAATACTTCACACGTTAGTTACCGACACGGAAGCTTCGTCGTGTTTTCTGTGGTTCACGGCCTTTGTCTCATTGCAATTTTTATCAAAGGAACCGTGGTTATATAGAGTATTTTATGCATTTACCTATCCGTCCATCCGTTTTCCAATGTAAATAATTCATTTATCTAGAAAACAAATCTTTCCCACCAGGGCTTCCTCATTTTTCTCTTCTACTGCTTGAAAAATTCAGAGGTGAGTAGCATTAAATGTTTCGACTACAAAAGTATTTGTGTCTCCAACTGACACCGACAACAGAGTTGAAAAACTAAGTAAACAGTGCATCTTTTGTTTCTTTTGACGTAATCTTGTGTCCAAATTGAACTTAGGTTCGTAAAGAATTTAAAAGGAAACTGCACAATCTACGTGCGCAGAGGCATCCCTCTTCTCAAAATCCGTCGAACGCTCCAAGATCTACGCCGGCAGAAATTGAAGTGCCAGGACCTTGCCCTCAGCAGGAGAACATAACACGAGATAAGGGCTTTGAAACAAGACTATGACCATATTTATTTTGTCTTACTTACTTTCTAAAACAACTGAAGTATTTACACGTTTCTTCACGACTTTTTAGCCCAAGCCATTAGCCCAGTCTTTAAAATGGAAGATGTGAAATATGTTTCGTTGCTACTGCTGATTTATACGTGGAAGAACATAATTTTGACGAACTTGCCCTTGCTTGGCTGAACTTGAACAAACTACAGACAGAGACTACTTAAGTATTTATAGGTTATCCTCGTCTAAACTCGAGAAAAGTCCCTCGTGGATTTCTTTGATAAGATCAACATACCGGTAAGACAGGCCACCTTTTGTAAAACGAGATAGGAACTACACTGATGAAATTTGACGGAACGCCGCAAGATCAAATGATTCCCATATGAGTCAAAGCAACTATTATTGTTAAAGCACCAGATTTTAAAGGGGAATTTTCGAACGTGGAGCAAGAAGGCAGCTAGAGTAAGGATAGTTCTACAAAACATAGCATGGAAATATATATATGTATATACATGTATATGGAAAAGTGTGAAAAAAAAGTTAAAAATTCCTGAGTTGAATTTGTTGTAGAACAGGTAGAACTTCAATCGGCGAAAACCTCATAAACATAGATCCATTGAGGAAGACAGCTGACAAAACCAGAACAGTCTGTTTGACAAAAAAACAAGGGTAGGGCAGATAATTGATTAGCTCCAGCAAGAGGCGCCTGTGAGGGGCTGTGATAGAAATTCCATATGCATCTAAAATGGTGTGTAAATTCACGGCTTATCTTTCCAAGTTACAGATCAAGAAGATGGCTCAAAGGGATGTTGAGTATAGTTCTCATGACGTAAAAGCAGTTCAACGGGCGCTTAAAAAACACCACTATGAAAGTTATGACCCTGGCTCCGTCATTAAATAACCAGTGAGACCCCAGGAATGTAGACTCCTAGTACTAGATAGTCAGCCTTTTCCGGGTAAAATGGGTAAACGACAAAGAATAAATGGGTTCCATGTGCCTGTCCCATTTAAAACCTGGTATAGATTTGTATCCGACCTAAAAAGTGCAGCCATCTGTCCGCTGTACTTGCCTCTAACAGTAATCAAAGTATGGTCAATGAAAAACTGCCTTAACACCTCGTTAACGAATTCTGTTGAAATAGCAAGACAATTGAACAACATTCTGAGTCCTCAAATTAATTACCGAAGTTCTTGAATATTCCTTAATTCATTAGCCCTCTGTACAGCTATTTTTCACTCGTTCTATCATATAATGTTCTATAATAATGATACCAGCAATCTCATCCATCCATTTTCTTCCATTCATGCTCTAGCGAAGACACCAGACATCAGACCCTTATCATGAATGAAACCGTAGCCCTACACCCATCATTGCGAATATGTTTCTTTCTTATGGTCCATATATAATGATGACGTATCAGTGATGGTGTTTCGTCAGTAGTTATTTCACTGTAATCGAGTTTAACAACATCGAATTACAAAAACAAGTTATATGGCGGGTAATCAATGCGGACAACTTGATCGATCAAAAGTCGATCGATTACGTCTCGTTTTCCAGATGGTCGTGGACACCTCGATTGTGAAATCGGCTTGCAGTGTGTCATGTGTCCAATCGACCATCGGCCGACTATCATTCCCTTTCTCGGTCGATTATCGGCCAACTATCAGTTCGTTTATGGGTCGATTATCGGTCGATGATGTGCCGACTATCGACCGACCATTGGTCAATAGTTCGACCACAATGGATAAGAATTAGAACACATGATCCAAAATCGCTTGACTGTTAAGTAAGTATCGCTAAAAATTTATTTGTTTCTCCAACACAAAACATACCTTTTTCCGGTTCCATCCCAAAGGTATGATAGAGTTGGAACTCTGCCTAGGCGGCCAAACAACCAAGCCACCTTCCATAAATACGGTGCACGCATACACTTCTCAGTGGCTGCGGTCGATCGAAAATGATCCCTATATAATCCATTAGGGTTTGGCAATAGCCGTTGGAAACAGTTCATTTTTCCTGGTCTACCTTACTGAACGTGCATTCTTGAATTATTTTTGCTCGAGCTCTTTCAAGCCCTACTCGTTGGTTATTCAAGCCCTATTTATTGATTGAGTGCGCAAAAAAATAGTGCATGACAATGAATCGTAGGTGTCTGGGACGCTGCTGGCAGAAAGACCCATTTAATTATTTTTTCTCTATTTTTAATCGCTTCCATCTGTTTTTCTACTGCTAAAACTGGCCGCGAAATCAGCGGAAACAACTGATTATTTCGCGGGTGTTTGGGCGACATAACGTCGCGGCAGTTTAACAACTGATCAATGTGTTATTTCTTTAGTAAGCGGTCAAGGTCAATTTTATTGCACGAGCTTTGAAACGTTAAATCGCACAGAGTTAAATATAGCGCACTGAAGCAAGACTTCACTAACTTTCGTTGAAAAAAAAGCAAACTTCAGAAATCATCGCATTATTTTGACAATTGGATTTCCGTTTTTAGCCCACGCGTTCATCCGAATCAACAATCCTGTCATGTTTGTGCCAGATGCTGCCATAAAATTCACCGAACTGCGACAGTCTTTCGTGTGTATTTCAACGAAATATTCAATTTCTCTCCTGCTGTCGACGCCTTGGGTAAAATAACGCTGAAGACGAGACGTAGAGATCGCGTGGGTTTTCAGCAAAACGATTAAACTTTGATCTGACACTGTCTAGATAAACCTCAAATTTAAATTCCAGTACAGTTATGTAAACAAAAATTACCCCGACTTGACTTCGAAGTTTTATTAGAAGAGGAAAACAAAAAGAGAAACTTCTTCCTTCTTCTAACTTTTAATGTGTCTATTATGTTACTCCATGCACTTCTTATCGCATGCAGAATTGGACCAGAACATCGGAAATGTTCAAATATTGTACTTTGTTATAATTCCGACCACCAGATACAGATTCTTATCACTTCGTCTTATTCTAGAAAAGTCTTTCACGAAAAAGCTCTTCTCTTATAGCACTTCTAAATCTTTAAATGTGATATCTTGACGCGTTTTGGTCATGAAATCTAAGCGCTGTTATCTTTAAAAATACCAAACATATAAATAGATCATGAAGAATGTAAATACAAAGATTTGCGCTCGTTGTTTGAATTTTAGTAATCCTGATCTTGGTCTGTTTGTGTTAATCTTCCATTGTAAGGCTATTTACATTGATTTTCCAACACAAGCAATATTGGGTATTATATTGGCTTTCTTAGTTGAACAAACCGTGGAATTTTGGTTCGAAGAAAAGATTTTAGTGAACGCCACAGGATAAAGATCAGTTGGGGGTACGCAGACTACGTCGCACAAACAAAGTGGGTGAAAAACTCTGAGGAAGGGAAGGAAACAACTAAATCAAGACAGGTCCAAATTTAGACAGAGTGATAAAGCTAGTTACATGAGTAGTCAATGCAAAATTTATGTGACGATATTACCATGTCTGTCAATTAAGCCAAGGCTTAAAATTTGGAGGCGTGATTAATCTGTAATAGAACCGTGCTCTTCTTTTTTCGCTTCTCCAGTTTGGGAAAAAAAAAAAAAAGATCACAGGACTTTTATAGGCTCCATCAAGTAGTTAAGTAGGATGTATATGCGTTCTAATTAAGAGCATCAAACCCGTTATCAAGAAAATTTACCTCCAACCGCATGTCCTTAAAGACTTAAAGAAGCTTAGGGTGTGCTATTGTGACGTCACATAGTTTTAAGCAAAAGTTACAAAGGGGTCAGAACCGAGGTCGGTACAAAACAAGTGCTTCAAAGGAAGTCATTTAAAATATGCATACCTCCACGTGTAATACCAGCCGATTTGATTACTATGACAGCGTTTTGCTCGAGTGATTCCTGCTTCGATGGTTTGAGTGTTTGTGTTAGCTCTGTTACAGAGTGTGCTTTTAATCAGACACTCTGGACTCAGACATGACTAAGGAGAGAAAGACATCTTCACCAGTTGAACAAGGGTCGCATTTACACATGGCTATCAAGTTGTTGAAAGCGGAAAATGCGAACCTCGAGAAGATAATAATTTTGCTGAAGACCGAGAACCAAAACATGCAGCGTAAGATGAAGGAACTCGAATATCAGAACGACAGGTTTAAAATCACGCAAAATCAGCTAAAAGCGGAGTTGAAGAGGGAAAAGGAAATGGTGAGGTATTTACATAATGTGAACAAGAAATACGAGCGAACGCTTCAGAAGAAAGAAGCAGAGAGCAGACAGCTGCGCAAAGAGGCTAAAGAAGCTGAGATGAGGAGTCTCAAACGAGAAACCAAAGACGTAAACAATAACGCAAAGGAAACCGGCAAAGACACGGAAATCCGACGACCGCAGCCACCTAAACGATCGGACTCGTTCAAAAGAAACAAGGATCTTGCGGCTATAAAAGCGGATCAAGGAATCACTACCGTGAGCAACCAAAACGCTAATTTAAAACCAAAACAACCGGCTCAAATCACGCCCGCAATCAAACAGTCGAACTCAAGCGACGACATAACTTGCGAATGGGAAGACGTTACGGACGTTTTGGGCTTCTTAAATGAGAAGGTCAATCAGTTCGAGCGGTTACTTCTGGAGACTGGAGGCTCGAGCAAGTCGGGATCTGGCTCAGGATATTCCTCTTCCGACTCAATGACATCCACCAAGTAACGTGTGCATGAATCACCCGGCTGTAACTTTTATACTTCAACCCACGTAGATATCACTATTGCTCCATGTATAGCCTCACGAACTAGAAAAAAGGTTTTTCTCAGGTTTCGCTGCTAAGTATGTTTTATTTTAATTAGTAAAGCAAGTAGCTGTGACCTTTTTCAAAACAAACACCAATTGTCTTTTAAAAGTGTACTTCAGTATGTGACATTTTACTCCAGCTGTCAAAGGAGCTTATTAACTCGACTGAGGTATAATATTTACTAACAACAGCGAACAAAATGGAAGAAATAATGCAAAGGTCAAGAGAGCTTTTTTTTTAATGCTCCAATGAGTACAAGACGTGTGTATTTGTTCTGCAGCATGACCCCATATTCATTACAGTTTTAAAAAATGTACTGCGCTGTCTTCAGATAATATTAGTAGGAATTATGCAAATAATTAACGCAGTTTACAGCCAGGTGTTTAGTTTCTTCGTAAATATGAGTGGATTATGAGTTCAGGGCGTGACATAAAAATGTGCGTAACGCAAAGGAAACCAATCTGAACTTTTAAGAGTGGGAGTCGAAATTGGCTCGGTGTACAAATTAAATTATCTTTCAATATCACAGATCCATGATTATAAGCTTCTCAAGAGATCTCGAATGTATATTAAACGTTTGCGAAAGAATGTTTATGCGCTTGTTCTTCACCATTACAGTACAGTGGCTAGTAAGAGCGCCATCCCGTAAAATGTTGCGTTCCCATCATCTCTTTGCACGTGAAAGTCAGCTGAGTGAAAAAAAAGGAAGAGAGAAAAAAATTTATCGATCGTGGATACGGGTTGGGTTGCAATTATGTCAGGGGGTTTAGGTATTAATTTTTTCCATGCTTGCCCCCCTGATCGATTTTTCCCCCAAGTCTTTTCCGGCCTTAAGCCCCACTCAAGAATCATTTCCCAAACCAAATCTATTTTCATAAGTTTTATTTGCCAGGCAGTATGTATTGAATCTTGATTAAGTTATTTGTACAAGAAAAAGGGCCTATCGTGCGACGGGAAACGAAACATTTCGTACGAATGACCAGTTTTCACATTAGTTAACATATGCTTCACAGCGATAAGTGACGGATTTCAATTGCACGAGTTTTCCAGGAAGACATCTGTACTTTCCTTCGGTTGGTATTGAAACTTCTGAACAAATCCTTAAAGTTCGGCTTTACTGTAGTGAAAGTGTGTTTATTCAGAAAGATGTACCACGTTGTTCCTCCAATTGGTTCGAAGCGTACCTTTTATCATGGCTTGATAATCAGACGAGCTGGTGAAGGGACCTAAAAAAACAACTTATGTCCAGGGCTACTCTGTCGTTCCCCTAATGCACTTCAGCACATCTTCCATGTATTTAACTCTGAAGAAGAACTCAGGCATGCCATACGTAATTTAACATAAACAGTTTATGTGATACTGTCCGACTGATTTGTCATATTTTAAAGGGGGGTTATTTTGAGCTTCGTATCTTGTTGTAATTGACATTTTAGCGACATCTTTAGACCGACGCTGCAAACTACAATTCAGATAGTTTCATTGCGAACTGACAAGCATCAGGTCCCTCATTGAAACAGAGATCGATAGATTCCGTGGAGCTTAACTCTTTTTCTCTCGTGCCGTAATAGGAAATTGTACATCAGGTGTTGACAAATAGCAGCCAAAAAAATGAACACAATTTCAAGATAGTTTACTCTCAAGTGACCTTGTCCTCTTAGCTCCCGTGCACTCATGTGAATGGAAAGTCGCCGCTTACGTTTCACCGCCAAAAACATATCCATACCTTCGAATCGCATGAACAGATTCACCTAGGCCCTTCCTTCAAGAAAGAATAACATGCGACGCAATGATGTTCAGATCGCGTACATGTAAAGAATCGTTTTCAAATTTCTATGTTATTTTCAATGCTTATTTGTCAAGCTTATCCCTATTCGGAAATAAGATATTCCATTATCTTATTAAAAAAAGAAGAAGAAGAAACAAGATGAAAAGTAACGAAAATTATTCATACGCCAAGTCAAAAGATATCAACTGATGAAAAATGATCTGAGAATAGAAATGGTGACAAGGCCAATATACAATTTAACGCCAATTATAACACAATGATTAACAAAAGAATTGAAGCCCGTGACAGTATCGAATTCCAGACACGCAATGATAGTTTTTGCCATCTCATGATAGGGCTTATCATAGACGTCGTCCGCGTCGTTCTCACATATCTTGCGCCCTCTGAAATTTACCAGTTTAGCTGATTATCTACGAATGGATCAAAATCACTTGGAATGCCTAAGAATTGAAAACAAAAAGCTTCGTGGTAAGCACAATGAACTAGAGTCGGATCTTATCGAGGAGAAAGAAATGGTGAAATATTTGCATGGTGTGATAAAGAATTACCAACAGCTGTTAAAGTCACCACAAACGACACGACATCTTCAAACTGCTTCTCAAAAGAGCGTGCGTCGAACTTCGAGTGCCCGACGAGTGACTAGTGAAAAAGATGTAGAAGAATCGTTCCTGAAGAATTTGATCGAAATGAGTAGTTTTCATCCGGGAAAGAAGGAAGCGAAACCTAAGGAACAAGGGTTCGTGCCAAATGATAATTCACATTCAAAGGCGTTAGACACGTCCGACTGTGAAGATACAGACAGAATCGATAACAACAACAGCCATGTATCTGATGAAATTTTATTACCTACTGATCAGCGACGCAAGAGATCAGAATCTATTCCTCCTACAAACTCGTTTTACTCGAATTTTCTGAGTCAAAAGACCCGTAAACCACGAGGAAATACTATCTCGGACTTTAGAACACTTCCCCTTAGCAACCCGAGCGCGAAGTGTTTCGAGAGAGAGCATGTTATGCAAGAAATGACCCAAATGTTGGACTCCATGATGCAGAAAACAACTTTACTCGAAAAAAGCTTAAAACAGAAGGACAAACATTTGACAAAAATGGAACGAAGGTTCGAATACTTGGAAAGTATAGCGCTTGGAGAAGAATCTGAATGTCTGTGACGAGCTTTTGCGTGACTCACCTGATTTGAGGAAATAAGGCATATGAACGCCCACGCGGTGAAGGAAGTTCGTACAATCAACGAAGATACAATTTACTTACCACTCTACCGTGGCCATGCACACAATTAATTTATCGTCAGTTTACATTGGTGATCAAAGGTCCAGCTCGGTTTCCAATATCTTGCCCCTCCTCTCTTTTTTTGGCTCAATAGCTAGGTGATTAATTTACATGAGACGAGTGGCAAGTCCACCCAAATCCCACAAGTGCGATCACAGTCCTTGTAATGCATATCTGTAAAGGTTTCACTCGAACGACTTATTCCGGTTACCGGGATTAAACTTGAAAGGTGGCGTCACGTTCATCGCGATCACCGAGTTGAAATTTCCCGCTGAATGGAGGCCGGACTGAAATCTCCGTTCACTTAGCAAGCTTAAATTTCCTATATGAACAGAGGACATTTGTCTTGCGAACCAGGCTGAACCTGACATTGGCCTCTTATGATGACTCGGAAAGGAGAAAGAATGGAAACCAACAACGCTTCGCTTTCCAATAACCTGACGGAAAGAGGTACAAAAACATTTAAATACCGTGATTGAAAGAAACCCCGAGACAAGGAACTATTGCAAAAGAGACTATGCAAAGCTGCTATAATAAAAGTGTTTAAATTATCACATAAAGAAGTCGTATATTAGGTTTTATGGAAATTTGTTTCTAGTGATTTGTTAAGTTTACATGAAGAGTTATATTTGCGATTCAATAAGCGGAAAAAACAATGTGAATGTTTGACACGAATAAAGGGATCGAAAGAAGAATAGAAAATCCGCACGCGTTAATAAATCAAATCAGAAACCGCTGTCATGCATAACCTCTATATTGTCTCTTTCTCGTTTTCCTGTGGTTAAAGTGTACTTCCGCGCTTAGGATCTTAGTGATATTTAAGGTTGGAATCTCGACGAAATGAATTCTTGGCCCAAGTTACCTCGCCTTTATAGAGAATCCATGAACGTTATAAAGCTTCACGTGACGACTGAAGTAGAAAAACGTCGGTGTACTGAACTCCTGTCGCCGGGTTTCTCGCGTGATTGACCGTGCCAGCTGGGATGCCTTCAGTATATACTTATAATACAATGTGAGATCAAGAAGCCGTAAGTTACACTGGTTAGCCTGTGGACCTTAATTAAACCGAACCTTCCCCCGTCTCCAACCCCAGAAAAGGGTGCGAGCAGACTCTCAATCAGTGAAGTCTGCGAAAGTCGAGCCGGCCCTTTCTCAGTCTTCGAGGGGTTTGGCAGCTTGCAAGATGCTGGTGATTGAGGCGACAATGAAAGCGTGTTCGTAAGCTACCCTCAAAAGAAAAGAAACCACCCACCGATTCCCTTAGTGATAACAGATATAGCTCGTGATTATGGCAATAGCTGCAATCGTCTAGGGGAAGAAAACCTTAGCAAAAATAGGATATCACTACCAGATATGAAGGTCCAGGACTGTGGAAAACCACTCTTTCCATATCAAAAAGGATCATGCTAGAAATAATCAACAAAACAGTTAAATCCAACCAGGGAAGTAACGTGCTTAACCTCTTCCTAAAGCTTAATTAAAGACCCTAGATGGCTGCAGGCACGAAATGAATAGTTGAAAGGTAATCTGTATTCTTCGTCTTCCTACGTCCTTTTTTAACCTTTGTTTACCCATTTGATATCGATATATTGTAATTGAATATTACTCTGAGGTTTTTCACAGCTGGTCGTTCCATTCCGCAGAGATCTCTAAATTACCTCTTAACAGCAGTTCTTCCTTCCTTTTAAAAAATAAAAAAAGAAAAACAAATGAGATAACGGAAACCAAATTGTATGGGCTCCCTGGGTGGTTGGGATAAGCTGTATAGTCCGTGACAAGATCGTTGCGCAATTGAAGTATGAATTTCATTTCTAGAAGGTGATCTTATTATATATTAACGATCTTCCAAATTGCTTATCAAATTGTAAACCAAGAATGTACGCTGACGACACGCACCTTACATATGCGGGCAGTAATCTTGAGAATGTTCAGTTTTGTCTAAATGAAGACCTAGCAAACGTTTTCAACTGGCTACAAGCAAACAAACTTACATTGAACATGACCAAAACCGAATTCATGCTAATAGGGTCGAGGCAGAGACTGAATACTCTCACAGCTTCACCAACAATTACAATGAACAATACTCAAGTGAGCCAGGTTACAGCTACGAAATCGCTTGGTGTAATAATTGACGATAAACTCGATTGGCATAGTCACATCGAAAAATTAACCAAAAAGATCGCCTCTGGTATCGGGGCCCTAAAGCGAATTAGGCACCTGATCCCAGCATCAACCTTACATCTCGTTTATCAAGCCTTAGTAAAACCTCACTTTGATTACTGTGACATTGTTTGGGGTAACTGTGGGAAAACGCTACAAGACAAACTGCAGAAATTGCAGAATAGAGCAGCCCGTGTGTTGACATTCTCTAACTATGATGCTGATGCAACTGAGCTACTCGAGTTTTTAAGGTGGAAAAATCTTACACGCCAGCAGGAAATTCACAAAGCCACCATGATGTTTAGATGTCTGCACGGGCTAGCTCCAGAGTATCTGTGTTCAAAGTTTACGTGGCGTGACTCTGCTTATGACCTCAGGGACTCTGAAAATAAGCTCAATGTTCCATTACCGCGCACTAATTATTACCGAAAAAGCTTTAGCTACAATGGCGCCACATTATGGAACAGTCTACCATGCGATATAAGGAACACAGAGTCTCTGGGGGTATTTAAACGTAAGATCAATGACATTCTTTAAGTCTAACGCACGGCACTCACGGAAAACAGCTTTTAGTGTTATAGTATATAGTTTGAGTTTTAAATATTCTAGCGTATGTGATATGTATTTTTTAGGCTGATGAATTGACCGTGTTTAAATAAATTTTAAACAAAAAAAAAAAAATTTATGTCCGTCTCTACACGCGTGTATCCGCGCAACTTTGCGTGTTACGTGGTGGATTTGCTTTGTCGGACGAAAAACACTGGAAACTAGTTTAAAACGTAAATCCAACATGGCGGCTTGGATGAAGATGTAAACAAAAATGAGTTAATGATCTGTCAGTTTTTAGGCAAAAAAAGGAGAATAATGAGAATTTTTATCATCACACGCCTTTAAGTTGATGTTGGATCTTGCTAAATGTTGTTTATATGGAAAAAACGACGTCCCAGTGGTGTAAAATCTCGGAAATGGAGACCTCGTGCAGTCGTTGGGATGAACTGCTGGAGGTAAGGAATAACCTTCTCACAAACTGCTGGACGAGCATGTTGTTTCAATTTATGGAAAGACTCCCATTTAACCCATAAAATTCTAAAACAAAGTCGTAGTCCTAAAGGTAATCTATTGCTTTGCTATTGTTTTCCTCTTTCAAGTATTATACTGAATTTATATGATATGTACAATGTTAACATAATGAAGAATGGACGTAAGAAAAAAAATCCAAATCGTACTCAATTTATTTCTACTTCATGTCTGGGGTGGATCTAGGATTCGTTTGGCATGAGGAGTGGGTGGTCGGGAGAGGGGGGGAAGGATCTTCTCTAGGAGAGATCTTGGGAAATGGGATTTCCAATGCCCAGAGCCAAGAACAAATTAATGCACGAAACGTGAGTTTTGAAAATAATTCACCGTGGCAAATTAACATCATCAACTCTGTTAAAATTTTTTGTTATGATACTACACTGAATTGCAGCACTAGTTTCTTTAGAAACTTACCTCCTTTATCCATCTAATATGATACTTATTTAAGTGTGTGTCACAGTAAGAGAATCAACATAAATTTAATACTCACAATATTTCTATCCTCACCATGCCAAAGGTTCACCTTAAGTTAACAAAACACGTACCAAAAGAACCCAACTGATTTGGGGCAGATTAAAGATAGAGGCTTCACTCAAGAAAATTTTATCTGCATAATGTAGATCCGTATGAAGGTTCAACATCCCCCCTTTCCTCCCCGGTTACCCCCTGGGCATTGGAACTTTTAAAGATTTTTCTTTCCTTTCAATTCTTGCCCGGGGGCAAAAATTGTGTTCAAATGTCTCCTTTTTTTTTCGTGAAAGGTTAAATCAGGGACCTTGATATTCTATGCATTGACCAGACTTTAAAACTAGACCTTTTTAGACCTTTTCCTGTGGTTCATTGCCTCTTGAAAGTGAATTATTTACCCTAAGCACCTCCATATTTGTAATGGTAATTGAACTGAGTCGAGTGCAATGGGTAATCGCATGATTTTGAGTGCGATTTGGGATAAATCAGCACAAGTAACTTTTTTAAAGGCCAACCAAATTGCAGGCAAGTGCACTTTGTATTCTTTGAAAAAATTATGAGTGCTGATTTATCCCAAACTGCACAAGAAAAATCATGCAATTACTAAGTTATAATTATACAAGCAAAATATGCCTCTGTTTCCATTTTTGGCTGTTTTAATTTTTTGTCATGGCTCACCAGTTCACTGAGCTGTTTGCCTTTCCCTGTTGCAGGAGTTTTTGGGCTTTCCCCTCAAGAACTTACTTCAAATTTTCAAAACCTCTCTCAAGAATAATTCAGTGCTTGTATTCTTTCTCAGACGACAGCAGTAACCATTACTTGAAAACTTTTACTCTCATAATCTTCCCCATCTTTCATACATACTGTTACATAAAACTCCTTTAGGATTTTATCAGGGTCTCCAGTTCATACTTTCATATCTGTTTTTGGAAGCCAGACTTTTAGCCCGTTGTTTTACCTTTGTTAGGTATTTTCAATTTAGCATTCTCCCTCAAATTCTGAATTAAGACATTTTTACTTTCTCTTCACCTGTCCACCATTTTTTTTAGGTGTTTTGATGACTTACCTGTCAATTAATTTAATTTCAACTTCCTGCACTTGATTTCAACTTTCTGCTCAGTTTGGGGCTAATTGACATGTTCTCACCCAATGAACATGCTGAAAACTTTGCATATGC